CAGTTTTGTGGATACTCATGGCGGTTCTTTAGTGTCAGTAGCCAGTGAAAGAGGGAATTCATTAGCTGTGTATTAGAAATGGAGCTTTTATTTTCCTTTTTTTCCCCTTTTGAGTACTCTACAGAATTATGGAATATTGTATTTATTTAAAATAAAAATACATATAATCTATTTTTTTATGGGGAACAAATATATCATCTATTTTCGACCAAATTGAATATATATACTAAAATATATCTCATTTATTTTGAACCATACTATTTTTTTTTTTTTTTGACTATTTAAAAAAACAAAATTTACCGAAAATTTCAGAAAATCTAAGAAGAAAATTAAGAAACACCAAATCCTTCTCCGAAGATCTATGCTCAGGTCATGATATTTAAAACGCACTTAAAATATTCTCGTATAAATTTGATGAGATTTCAATAAAGGGCACTTAAATAAATTGTATATTATTTAAGTATACTCAAAATGTGTACATTCATATTTCTTTCTCATTCTAACAAGCACTTCGTTGCAGGGATTAACGACATCACCCAAACGACGTGTCATTTATTTTGACGAAAACGACATGACATTTCAGAGCAGGAAAACGACAAACTTTAAAATGAGATGTCGTTTGTAGTAGCAACACGTGTTTCCGACCAAAAATAACGGCCAACAAATGTACGATAATAGGCGAGAAGAGAATGAAATATAAATACGGTTCCTGGGTGATCAAACAAACGTACAATTTCACAACATTCTCTTAGGATTTTTCTACGTAATTTTCTTGGAATTTACTCCCATTTCGGAAGTAAAGATGTAATTGTTCTACAGTTGTACCCAGAAACTCTACTTCTTGTTTCGTAAGATAGATTTCTAAAGTTGGAACTAAAAAGAGAGAGAACCATGAAGAAGCATATCTTGTGTAGAAAATATTTTTCGTATGATGGCTTCACCAGCTTGAAACATCGCGGTGGTGGAATTGTATGTGTTCGGTTTAGCTTTGGTACGTTCGTGGGTTCGAAGATTCTGGACGATTCTGAAATTTCGGATGCCGAAGATTTGGAGGTTTCTTGCGTAATTCAATATAAGAACTTTCTACATAAGACCCACGAAAATTCCGGAGCTGGGCCACCTCTTTACAATAGGTTGCTGAAGAGATGTACTGAAATGCGAAAGCTGAGAGAAGGAAAAATGGTCCATGCCCATTTTTTGAATTCCCAATTCAGAGATGACCCTGTTATTGGGAACACCATACTAAACATGTATGCGAAATGTGGCAGTCTTGCGGATGCTCGTAAGTTGTTCGATGAAATGCCTCTGAAGGATATTGTGACTTGGACTGCCTTGATCAGTGGCTATTCTCAGCATGATCAAGCTGAGGAAGCGCTTGCTTTGTTTCCGCTGATGCTACGGCGTGGATTGGAGCCGAACCAGTTCACTCTCTCCAGCTTGTTGAAGGCTTCTGGAGATGGAACGACCAATAAGCGCGGTAGACAACTTCACGCGTATTGTTTGAAGTGTGGTTATGATTCTGATGTTTATGTGGGAAGTTCTCTTGTTGACACGTATGCCAGGTATGGGCATTTAGTTGAAGCTCGGTTGATCTTTGATGGCCTGGTGACCAAGAATGAGGTGTCTTGGAATGCTTTGATTGCTGGGCATTCCAGGAAAGGTGAAACGGAGAACGCCCTTAGGTTGTTCTCGATGATGCATAGGGAAGATTTTAAGCCTACTCATTTTACGTATTCGAGTTTGTGCACTGCTTGTGCTAGTACGGGATCTCTAGAGCAGGGCAAGTGGGTTCATGCACATGTGATCAAGTCTGATTGTAGACTTGTTGCTTTTGTTGGAAACACACTTCTTGACATGTATGCAAAATCCGGTAGCATCGAGGATGCCAAAAAAGTTTTTGATAGGTTGGTCAAGCAAGACGTAGTTTCTTGGAACTCGATGCTTAAGGGTTATGCCCAACATGGACTCGGAAGGAAAACAGTGCAATATTTTGAAGAAATGATGACGAGTGGAATTGAACCGAATAGCATAACCTTCCTTTCTGTTCTGACCGCTTGTAGCCATGCTGGGCTTTTGGATGAAGGACGACACTATTTTGAATTGATGAAGAAGTACAAGGTAGAGCCAGATGTTTCACATTACGTGACAATGGTCGATCTTCTTGGTCGTGCAGGTCTGCTTGATCAAGCTGAGAGGTACATAAGAGAGATGCCTATTGAACCCAGTG